TATCTTCTCCTTGGTCAACACTACTTAAGTTTCTGCAGCCCCGATTTCTACAAGACTGGGCGGGATGTTTTAACGATCCGAAAAGTATATTCAAACTACCTGAGATATGAACTTTGAGGTTAGTTGATAAAATTATACTCTTTCACATCAACATTCCAGTGATATCGTGCTACTATCTGGTTTTGCAGAGTCAAGCATGATACGTTCTCAGTGATGTCAGTCAGTCAGAGAGCCAGTTTCAGGAAGTTTTAAAGTTTAAATATCATCATATCATATGCTCTATTCGGGTTGAAAGCTCTCTCACGATTCATTCAAAGTCAACTCTCCAGTCATTAAATATGTGATAAAATGATTACCATAACCCATCAAGGTTCTTCGAGGGTCTAGACCTTCTCAGTTCCTCATTTCATGAGGAATAACGTTCAGACGTCAAATAAAGTTATAAGCATGAGCTTGAAAAAGTCAAGAGAGACGCATATAGCAACTAGGAGAGAATAGCACGACAAGATAGTTCTTGCGACCGTTTCTAAAAGTTTTGCTTGGCAATCTATACACGACAGTTCATCCCGATCGACACGAAACTAGGCAGATGAGACTCGAGGATTTTCTTCAAACCCCCTCTTTTACCCCTCTTCAGATATGCAACAGGAAAGTTTGTGATGGCGCAATATCCTATCAAGATTTAAATCCATACTGGTATTTCTACAGATAAACACGAAGACTTGTGGGTATCTTCCGCTTTCAAACTCGGAAGCTTATCACATACACTGTTCGTCTTTTCTTCGTGCATATAGCGTCTTCAAAGGAGGAAGTTGTTATCATGAGATGGTAATCTGAGTTCAAATTCTATTGCAGACTGCAAATGTCATCTCATGCCCGTTTCCATATACACAATAGAAAGCCTTGCTCCGTGGTTTGCGTTATTAGATGCCTACATCATTAGGAATTTGCATCCACGTTCACCAAACCCAAGCCTCCATTATCTTTCTTTCGTTTTCGTTGTCAAGATGGAAATACTACAATGGTATATTTCAGGGTCAATACTCAATACTCGTAAGTCTATAATTCTCAGCTTTCCGCACATTTAGAGTCACAATTGAACAAATATAAGACACACAAATATCTATAACTACTCAACTTATAATCCATCTGTCAATACCTATTTCCCTTACCCTCCCCTTCTTATCCCACTCTAGATATACAATATCCATCTTTCTCCTCTCTTCTCTTCTCTCCATTACCCATAAGAAGTCAAAACAACAATCCTATACACAATACTCCGAGTAACAAACAACCCCACAAAACACAGTACACCAGCTTCACATCTCCATATATAGATAGATAAAAGATCAACAGCTCATGAACCAACCAACCATCCTAACGTGCAAAGATCAACACCTAGATCCTATAATTCCAATATGCGTTGTTATATCTCGAATCGCCATTACCCATACCGATATCGAAGATCCCTCTTTCGTTCTATAGTGATACATATATTTTTCACAAACCACAGTAGGTAGGAAATTCCCAGCTTCTCGATTTTCGGAGATTTACATCTTTTGATGAGATAGCTTAATTTACTAGAGAGAGCGGAAGAGAAAGAGAAAGAGAAAGAGAAAGCGAAACAGCAAGTGAAAGTGGAAGAGAATGAGAAAGCTCATCCTAAATGAACGAGGAAAGATCTTTTTTTGCACAGAGACTTTATACACATCCATTTATCTCGAGTAGCTGAAGACACATATCTAAGATAGGTATGGGATCAAAAACTGTTATTTTCAATTTAATTCCTAATATCTGTCACTTTTTGGATTAATCGGTGCTATTTAATAGGAGTGAGTGTGAGTCTAGAGATCTAGAAAGACTTTTGTTGGATGTATAGGATTTATATATCTATCTCGAGTCTAGGTATGATTAGATATGCTAGGGATTGTTTCTAGGAAATGATATGATATGAGATGATATGATTGGTATTATTAAATAGACTGACAGGATCTGTTGCTTTATGATTAGAGTGTGTAAATATAAATATAAATAAATATAAATGTAGTTCTAAGTCGAGACTCGAAAGAAAGTCTAAGAAATAAATTATAGGAAATCAAGTACATAAATGGAAAGATATACATTATCAAGATATGCTCGGTACCTATATGTTCATTTCTCTTTCAGTAATGTATATTAAATACCTACACATCATTTTCTGATTTGAGATATATGTATATAGGTAGGTACTTATACAAAGACACAAAATTCCCTAGTAAAGATATCTAGCTTTTTTCTTGCTCCTCTCAGGATATAACATTTCCTCCCCCTCTGCATCTACTGACTGGCCTTTTACTTTTACTGCTTAGATGAGAGAGCGATTCGATATACCGTAATATATCGTCTTATATCATACCTACTAAAACATACCACACCATCTAACAAATCCTCCAAGTCCCATCCATCCATCCATCCATCCATCCACCTTCTCCACGTACCAAATCTGTACAATCTACTACTTTCACACCCCCGCAACAAAATGTAGAAAAACATCTCAAATTCGATATAATAGACTGATTACTTACTCTGTTATGGGAGGGGGAGGGAATCTCATATTATAAATCGATATGTACGTGGGACTTATAAGATTGTACTGAAAATTACTAGCTTATAGGTACCTAGTTAATAACACCTCTGCTTTTTTTCTTCCCGTTTACTAAGGTTCTACTCACTCCTAATATGAGATAATAACAAGGAGCAAAGAGATCATTTTAGATTTGTGATAATATATACACACACACATATACACTCTCTCTCTGTCTCTCACTCTCCCTCCACAACATCGTTCCATTCTCCTCACATCAGAGCTTAAAGTTCCGATTCTTAGATATAAGTGATCCTAGGAAACATCACTTATATACTTATATACTCACATATCCCATATCCCATATCATAAATCTCCCAAAAAGTCAAGTTTTTCCATACAAAATATCACATAAGTAAGTTCAGGTAGATCCACGGATAGTATCATTCTCCCAACCCAACCCATCTCATCTCATCCAATCAATGCTGCTTCTCTTTATATACCTACCTATACAACCAAAAGATGATATATTTTAGATCCTATGAATAATCTCATACAAGTGCTATATCATTCATTCATTCATTTATTCATTTATTCATTCATTCGTTTATTCGTCCCTCCATCATACTTCCAATAACGAACTCTAAACTACAAACTCCAAACCCCAAACGTCGAATAAGCGAATAATTCAAACTATGTACCTCCAGCTATAAATATAAGCTCCCCCCTCCTCCTCTAATACATAAATAACCTTAACATAGAGCACACCACCGAAAATCCCAGTCAGAAAATCATCACATCATATCACATCACATCATATACGCATCCCCTATATTCCTACCCCAAGAATCCTCCTCATCTAATTTAACTACCATCTCTCAAGCAACTTAGAATTTTCCATTGCTTCTCCTTTCCTTCCCTATTATCCTATAATGCTACTTCATCGCCCAATCTCGAGAAAGAAGATTACTACCTATCTACTAGATATCTACTTACCTATAGATACTCGTATACCACGCCACGCTACGCTACAAATCGACTATAAAAACATCCATTCCTGAGAAATCTATCTCTGGAAATCTAATCACTTATTACTGAGACGTAGGAGAGACAAAGCAGCAAGCCACGAACGAAGCCAGCTAGGAGAGAACGAGAACTGCAGGAGAAAAGAAAGAAAACAGCGAAGATATAGGCCGTCCGCCCCCGCGTGCGGGCGCCCGGCCGCGCGGCGTGCGCGGCTGGAACTAACACCGCAGCGAGCTGCCGCTAGGAAGCCCATGCGGTCGAAATATGAGTAGATAATAGAGATGATCAAATCGTCATCGCCGACTCCTCTCGAACTATCCGTGAAGCTCAAATCTAAACAAATTAGATTCGAAAGATTTAAATATGAATATAAAATATAAGATAATATAAATAATAAATATAAGATAATATATATAATATAATAATAATATAAATAAATAAATATATATATAATATAATATAATATAATATAATATAATAAATAATATAATATATAATATATATAATATAATAAATAATATAATATAATCTATTCTAATTTCTTATTTATATAAGTAATATTTGTTTTTAATATTATATATGTTATTTCATTTTATCCCATCCCATCCAACTCATCTCATCCCATCCCCCACTCCCCCCCTTATACCCCTCCAACTTCTCTCCTCCCTCCCCTCCCTCTCTACCCACCTACCCACTCATTCCCAGATTCCATTCCCAGATTCCATTCCCAGATTCCATTCCCAGATTCCATTCCCAGATTCCATTCCCAGATTATCAATCTACTACTAACTTTCAAGATCATTAGATATAATATATTATAATATAGATATAGTAAAATAAAGTATATAGATATTCAATCAATAGTCTACTATAGCTAAAGGGCTGATTAAAGATCTATAGATTATAATAATGATGATATATATATACCTAGGTATATACTGAGTAGATATTAAAGAAACTCTATATCATATATTATATATCATACATCATCATCATCATCATCATCATCATCACAGTCAAGATTACAACTCACTACATTCAAGTTATTCTACTACCACAAAAAGGAGTCATAAAAAAGATATCAAAATGACAGTAAATAAATAAACAAGTAGGTAAAAAGGTGTCTTAACATTCAATTAATAAAAAAACTAAGTAACATCGAATCCCCAACCACGAGGTCCTCCAAATGCCCCATCCTTCACCTTCAGTAAAAGACAATGACAATGACAAAGACGACTCAAAGCAAGCAAGCAAGCAAGCAAGAAAGTAAAAGATGGACACCCCAAAACCAAATCAAGCCACGAACTACCTACGTAACTCGAGAGCAGAAAGGAAAAGAAAAATCATAACGTCATCAAGGATCTCTAGCTCTAGCTAAGCGTAGCGAGCGAGTCCCCCCCCCCTTCCATCTATACCCATCTATCTATCAATCAATCAATCAATCGCTCCATCAAATCAAAACTCCCCAGCATCTCCTACACGAAAACCTAAACGGCGACTTTCTTCTCACCCCACACATCCTCGCGAAGACTCATCCACAATTCCCTCAAAACACTCTGTTCGCTATCTCTTCCTACAAATCTCTCTCTCATCTCCTCTCCTCTCTTTCTTACTCCCTCAACCCACTGTCCCAAATCCACCGCACTCTCCGCCTCGTTACCCACCATCTCCGTTAACACATTAACCTTTGCAACCACCTCTTCCGGCTGTGCACTCACGATATGGACTTCCTGTTTAGGAATCGCGGTATCGATTGATTCCTTAATCGGTTGAGAGGCATAGTAGTTATCTGGGAGAATGGGGACTCGGACAGTAAATGCATTGAGAGGTTCTTCAACGGGAAGACGAGGAAGAACGAGGTAGTCGAGGGTGGAAGGGGAAGCGACGGGACGAGCGGCGCTGGTGCGGAATCCTTGCATGAGACGGATGGTTTTGATAGAGGGGGGAGATGGGCGATGGGTGGTGGTGATTGTACGTTCATGAGAGAGGTTGGAGATGAGCTAATTGTTGAGATGAATGGTTAGTTTTGGGGGGTTTACTTTGGGTTTATTTTATTGAAGAAGAAATTGGGAGGAATTGGGATGGATAGACATACATCAGTTTTGATAGCACTCTTGGTCTTCAATTGTGCACTAGGACTTGCGACAGTCGAAGTAGTACTCATACATTTCTTCAACACAAGGGTGAATTTTGTAACGGGAGGAGTAACTCGAGACATATTGATGAGATGAGGTGAGGTGAGAGATAAGATAAATTGACGATTATAATTTGATGAATTGAGTTTTTGATGGTGTGAAGGGAAGATATAAAAGAGCTGAAAGTCCCGTCGTATGTATATCGATGGAGAAATGCGGAGTATCGGCAGATAAGATGATCAAAGTGTGGTTACACGAGGAATCTTGAGAGCGTTTGTTCGCTGGAACGTGGATTTATATGTAGGTAGGTAGGTATAACCAATGGGAGAATCTGGGTGAAAGATGCAGATGAAGATGCAGATGAAGATGCAGATGCTTATAGGATTGGAATACGAGAGAGGGAGTACAATGAGTTGAGAGTGAATATCAGAGGAAATAAGTATAAGTAGGTGGATAGACAATATAAAGCCAAGATATCAGATTCCAATTGAGAAAGATATATTGAGTAAGAGTAAGAGTAAGAGTAAGAGTAAGAGTAAGAGTAAGAGTAAGAGGAAGAATAAGAAGAGAAAGAGAAAAAGAGTCATGAGATACCTTCACCGTCTTTGTCCTTTATACCTTTCCATAGTCCATACATTTTAACCTTACCTTACCTAACCTACATATCGACAGCTTTCATTCCACGGCGGTACTTGAGACGAATACTTCCTATCATGGATATCACAATCAAAATCATAATCCAAATCATAATCATATCAAAACTGTTGAGCTTAGTTATCAAACCCACCTTGCCCTTCCCCTTCCACTTCCCCTTCCTCTTCCCCCATTCAAGGTTCGGAGCCCGGTACCGGTCCGGAACGACATAAGTTGCAATACGAATCTACGATAAGCTGAATCAACTTCAAATCTCAGTCACACGTGGATTCTCATTTAACCATTACCAGTGTCCAAACTTTAATTGATGTGCAAGACTATGTCCTGACTATGTTCTGACTACATACAAACTACATACGCACTACATCCACACTACATCCACACTACATACGCACTACATACAGACCACACACTACGGAAGTATATTTGATTCGATATACCCTCTCACCCCCGTCAAAACATATCAACCTCGCAAGGCGAAGCACCAGAAGGTTACATCCCATTGTTTCCCCGATGGTGACAAAGTTATATATATGGAGTCCAAACTGCAAGTCGCAAGTCGCCAGTCACAAGTTTCAACCATCCATTCTGCCATGCATGGATAAAGCTTTACTCCGTCCCAAGACCAAGTAAAGCTCAAGAAAACTAACGACGATGTAATTACCCGACTAACCCTCGACCTTCCCTCCTCAAGGTTTCCCATAATCCCAAGACACTTCAATCCCAACATCTAACCTTCCAACCTTCCAAACCTTCCAAACCACATCCCTCAATAACCTATCCACCGTCCGTGTCCATCAAAGTGACATGGCTAGCCCCAGTATAAACATCAAGCCATCCCTCAAAACAGCAAGAATCGGTGGAGAAAGATCACCCAATAAAAAAGTGGATAGAAACCATTAGCATCTCTATACCGCTTCCAAGACACCGTGGACACCAAACCACAAATCCCTTACCATACCATAAACCTAGATATTTATTTATAAATGGATCATCCACCGAGGAATTTTGTTGAGAACTCGAGATTCATCTCCCTTGCGAGCGATTATGCTATGCTATCACATCCATCACCGCCGGGAGAGTACTCAGTGCTCACACAGTGTATTGTACACATCAACGATCAACAAAAAGGGGGCAGGTGGAGAAACGGCGTAGATCATAGTGTACGAAGTATGTAAATCTTTGTTGATCTCTGGTGACTTGTGAATCGACATGATTGGAAATCCAATTGGGGAGATAGGGGGTTTAGATTGGTTGGTCTGGAATTTCAAAGTCCGGGGAAATGTAATTCTTTGGTCCCGGGATGGGAGAGCTGTGCTTGATACTTGAAAGGATGTTTGCCTTGCTTTGGTGTTACTTGGTGCTTGTTCGAGTATTATATGTAGATAGGTACCTAGAAGGAAATGAGGGGTTTTTATATCCGTAATATAATAAACACAGAATCAATATATAATTAATTAAATGTTTTTATTTGATTAAAAAAAGTTATCAAATAGTAGATTAAATATTATAATAGATATAAAAAACTTATAAATATAATAGATTTTATAGAAATAGAATAGAAATAATTTTTGAAACTTTAAATACTTATTAATATCTAAACTTAAAGTTATTTAAAATAAAATACAAAAAATTCAATCGATTATTTATTATATATCAACTATTATACTCCTTTATAATACTTATAACACTACCTATCAAAATAAACTTTGATTAATTTAAATTATTCTAAATTCAAAAATCTGAATTATATTGATTCTGAAATTCTATAACAATAATAAGTAAACGCTAACTAATTTAATATAACTTTTATATATTACACTATTAATATTATATAACAATTAAATAGAAAGAAGAAAAAAGTATAAAACCCTCATTAATTAATTCAAAGCTATTAAATATAACTATATTTAATTTTGAATTTAAGGTATTTTTAATTTATTCTTCAATTATTTCAAATTTAAGTTTATTTTCAACTTAAATTAGATCAAATTATTCTAAATTAAAAGATTATAATAACTTCGAATTTATATTTATTGTATATCTATTTCAATAATTGTATTTGTTGTATACTAGATTCTATATTACAGGGGTATTACAATTATTATATATAACCCCTATTTCATATACGGTATGTACGTACCGTTTTGGTGTCAGTCAAAATACATGTATATGTACATACCACGTATCAAACAAAAAAGAAAGAAAAGCAAGATCGAAACGAAACAAAACGAAACGAAAGTTGTCACCGTGTAGAACTATACTATACTGTACTGGTGTACCTAATAGGTAATTGTATCGCCTCGAAAAAGTAGGTAGGTAGGTAGGTAAAAATCCATTTCCACACCATCCTCTGTAAGTTTCACCAGAACCCAGATACTTCATTCGTATATCACATTTATTGGCCCCGAGTTACACACAACACAGCACAACACAGTACCATACATACATGAATCAAAGCATAAACTCTCTTCTCCCTCCCCCAAGCCACCCAGCTTAAACCAAATCCTCAATTTCCCTCCACCTTCCAAGCACCAAGCGACGTATACCTAACTTATACTTTCCCACCAGCCTTATCTCATTCATCCATCCATCCATCCATCCATCCATCCAATACCAACCATACCAACCATACCATACGGCAACAAATCACCATACCACCCAAGTCCCCCAAGCCCCTCCAAGCCAATGCAGTAAACCCAAGCCCCCTCCAAGCCAAAGCAGCCAACCCAACCGTCTCCTCCAATTCCAAAACATCCATTCCATTCAATTCAATTCCCCGAACTCAAACCCAAAACCCAATGCCGAAAATCCAAAGTCGAAAACTCAATCTCTCACTCACCAGCCTCACAAAATACAACCCAGCACAACCCAGTCACCCCCCTGAACCTCAAGACTTTATCTTACAATCTTATAAACTTACAAACTTACAAACAACACAGCAACACAGCAGCAAAGCGAGTATCCAGTATCCAGGATTCTATCTGACCCCATACACTAACTACCTAACTACCTAACGAACTAACGAACTAACGACCTAATTAAACAACCCTAACTCAACAACCCTAATTCTATTTCCAGTTCTCTTCTAATCTAATCTAATCCAACCCCAATCCAAGATCATCCTCTCCCTCTCTCCCTCTCCCTCTCCCCCCTCCCCCCTCCCCTCCACCCCGCTACACGCCCAATATCTAACGCGCACATACATACAATCATCGCCTACCTATCCTATCCCCTAGCTCGGCACTATACAACTTAACGGGCATATGCATCTCCCATCTCCCATCTCCCATCTCAATTTCCTCAAACCCACTCCAAACCCACTCCAAATAAATTTCCAGAAACTCTATTATCCATTTCATTCATTCATTCATACCCATTTCATTCATTCGTTCATTCATTTATTCATACCGATTCCTTCAAAATCCCATGTTACTCACTCACTCACTAACCTTCCTTACCAACCTTCCTTCATCTTCATCTTCACCCTCATCTTCACCCTCATCTTCACCCTCATCTTCACCCTCATCTTCACCCTCATCTTCACCCTCATCTTCACCCTCATCTTCACCCTCATCTTCACCCTCATCTTCACCCTCATCTTCACCCTCATCTTCACCCATACCACCCATACCACCCATACCACCCATACCACCCATACCACCAATACCTACCTATTTCCCTCAACGCCTCAGCACCTCAGCACCTCAGCACCTCAGTACCTCAGTATCTCAGCACTTCAGTATTTCAGCACCTCAGTACCTCAGCACCTCAGTACCTCAGCACCTCAGCACCTCAGTACCTCAATACCTCAGCACCTCAGCACCTCAGCACCTCAGCACCTCAATACCTCAGCACCTCAGCATCTCCCTTTCTATTCATACTATCGATACCTACCTACCTACCTACCTACCTACCTACCTACCTACCTACCTACCTACCTACCTACCTACCTACCTACCTACCTACCTACCTACCTACCTACCTACCTACCTACCTACCTACCTACCTACCTACCTACCTACCTACCCACCAAGATATCTTAGCCATGTGATCAACACGCAATATTAACTAAATAGCAATCTTCAATCTCAATTAATCAAGTGAGACCGTATCAGACAGGAAAAGAAAGACAGACAGATTTTCTTTAAATGTTTCGGGAACATGTCAATATCAATATCAATATCAAAATCAATAGCATGGCGGGGAAGAAGAAAAACAGAGCCCCGAAAAAAAAAACCAGAAACCAAAAACCAAAAAAAAAAGACAATAACAACAACATTCAAACGCAACAATCAAAAACAACACATAAACTCCCCTCAAAAACATCAAAGGCATAGAAAACAAGATTCTAAAGTATTTTGTTATTGTTATTATTCTGATCCGTAAAACGGACATGGTGATAAGATATCTTTTGGCGTTGAAGAGGGTATCCCCAAGTAACAAGTTATGCTCTTGTGCTCGCTCCCGCTCCAGGTCCTGACTCCCAATGCATCAGTGACACCACCCAAAGCTTCTTGCGTAAGCTTCCACTCACTTCACTTTATATTTAACTGCCCCACAATAGTAGATCTGCCCACTGTAAACGCCACGCTATGCTAAATTCGCATCACAATTATATTCTCCTCTCCACATCCAGACGCTTGTTTCGAGTCATTCCTCAATAGACCCGGGGATTAGTCTTTTGCCGTCTCCGCCATTTTTAGATGTCTTTTACATCTTGCTGTTGGCCTTCACGCCATCGCGTCGTCTCATAAATGACCGAGGTATCCAGCCCCGACACATGAAATATGGTATCTCATTGCCTTCTTCAATAATTCTTCAATCAATCTTCCAATGCCCAGTGAGGGATCCATCCATATCCTCCTTTGCTAAATATAGCTCCAGGGCATAAAGCGCCATGGTTGCTGAAACATTAATCCAACGCCATATATTACCACCAGTATTACCACCTTGCATCATCCACCATTCACCCATATTTCCCTCAGAAGTGACAGAAGAGAAATGTTGCATCAATAAGCTAGTGTAAACAGCTATCAAAATTGAGGGACTAAACCAGCTTAGTAGTCCTAAGATTTTACCCTCTCCTTCGCTCTCATCAAGACCCAAATCCTGAGACAGAGCTCCAACTCCAGACTCTCGTATCGCTGGTATAATCCGGGTGGCTGCATAGAATACAAAAACCCGAAATGCAAGCGATATAATGATCGAGGGAGTGATTGTCTGGAAGGCTGCGTATAGAAAGTAGAAGCTTGAATGGACGAAAGATGGCATTGTTGATAAAACACTAAGAAGAGTGGAGTAAGAAGCCATGATGATAGGAGGAAATGGTGGAAAATCGGGCTGAACGGGTGCTTGGGGAATCTCATCCGTCGCCGATGGAAGGTAGTCGGTGAATATTTGATATATGCAAAGTGTGCAATAAGCGAAAAGTAGGGAGCTCTCCACTGGATTGCCTCTACCACTTCCGATACCCCATGCACACAAAAAGACTGCGCAAGTCATAGTAATGCCTATAAGTGTAGCATCAACGTTGCTGATCTGCGGAAACCCCGTGATACGGAGTAAGAAATAAACAGCACTTGAAATAATTGAGGCTGATAGCACAAGTAGCCCAATCTAAACGTTTTGGTAAGCTTAAGCACTCAACTGAGAATTCGAAACGTACCATCCATGAATCACTTCTGCGATTTACAAGGTATCTTGTGATTTGACCCGCTGCTTGGATGACCAAAAGAGAGCAAAACCCTTCTGCCATTTGAAATCTGTCATATGGTTAGTTTTGTAAAAAGAATCTAGAGTGTTCCTCTAGTATAGAGTGGATCTTCAACTGGCAAGATAGTTTCTTTGGAGTCGAGGAAAACACTACGCAAAGAGTAGCCTTCTACTTACAACGGCGTTGAATATCGTAGCACTTTGTCCCATGTACCAACTGTCAACATTTCGAGAAGACCTCCATAGCCAAAAACCCATTCTTTTAATTCCTTATCTTTCGCACGCTTGCCATCAAAGGTCCTAGTAACCCAGCCTCCATCACTATCTGCATCTACTGCAAATCGATTCATGCTCCATATTAAGAGCCCTGGCAGTATTATCCACTGCGACCACCCAATAAGTTGTATTAATGTCCATCGTATCCTCGAATTATCAGGCGTCGTTAATTTTAACGTCGAATAGAATAAGTAGAACTCGAAAAGGGCGAGAGAGAATGCCAGCCCGCATTCTCGACCTCCAACATCGAAGGCTATAGGTATGGAGAGAATTATCGACAAGAGGAAAGTCGCAGAGGAAAGAGCTCGGAATAACCACATCGGCGAGAACGACGCCGGCGCGTGCTTGACAGCGCGCCCAGCTTTAAAGATAATAGAAGTTTCGAAAGATCTTTGCCCTGGTAGGCTGTAAAAGTCGCGTTGAACACGCCCGTTTGAAGATATGTGATTTTTGAAATCCTAGCTTCTGCCAAACAAGGAAATCAATGTTTCGAAAAAGGTACTGAACCTAAAAAAAGTCCAAGGTCACTCTGATGACGTCTTATGGCCAATATGTGAAATTCCCTTCCCAGATTTCCCTCTTAGCTGTTGTTGCTTGTCGCAGAATGATATGGCAATTTATGCGTATGTGAGTTCTATAGTAAACGGAAGTACCGAAGGAGAACGGAGTCGGTAATGAAGATGATTAAGTTCTAGACAATTTCCCAGGAAAATGGACTTTGATAGAAAGGGAGACGATGGTCGCCTTGATTGGTAGCTCTACTTGGATCTTAATCCAATGATTGTTCTTGTCGCGTGCGTACAATGACGGGGATCCTCCGATAACAGAATTTGGTCGGATTGTGCCTGGTTTTCTCGATAGAATCCTGCAGGAAATTTGGCAACTTGACAAGTTGGGAATATGATAGCAAGAGGAGCGTTTTGTAGAATTTGACGGGCAAGTCCTTGTCACAGAAGATGAACGATTAGATTTTGGTAGAGAAATAATGACAGATATTCCAGTTTATTTGGGAATATTTGTACCAGCAAGGTAAATTTTGGGAAATGAAGATCGTGGGTAAATTATGAGAGGATGGGATGACAACGCACGTGTGAAAAAGCTAATGTTTAAGTGGGGAATTGCCAGCTGTTACCGCTTTTATTATCATTTTTGTAGATTAGTCTGGCCATTTTGGAGGAGTTCAATGCTTGGAGAAACTTGGACCCAAAATTTGACCCCTCCTTCTATTGACTTTTCCAATCACAAACATAAATCATCATTTTACCACTAGCTATCGATTTTATATGTTTAGAAACACAATCAAAATGGCCGAAACTGCAGCCAAAAGACTCAAGACCTCTCCCGTCACCATCGGTACTCACAATGGCCATTTTCACGCAGATGAAGCCTTGGCTGTTTATATGCTTCGCCTTCTCCCAACCTATCAATCTTCAGAGCTTATTCGAACCCGGGATCCTAAACTTTTAGAGACTTGCCATACCGTAGTCGATGTGGGAGGTGAATATAACGACGAGACCAAGAGATATGATCACCATCAACGTACTTTCGATACTACATTTCCAAATCGTCCTACCAAACTCTCTTCTGCGGGGTTAGTGTACATGCACTATGGCAAGGCGATTATTGCACAACATCTAGGTGTCGCCGAAGATGCGGAGGAAGTTGCTGTTATCTGGAGAAAGATTTACGAAAGCTTTATTGAAGCACTTGATGCTCACGATAACGGTATTTCAGTCTACGACCCAAAGGCCATTTCCGCCGCAGGCTTAGAGAAGAAGTTTAGCGATGGAGGATTCTCATTAGGTGCTATGGTATCCAGATTGAACCCAAACTGGAATGACCCCACTCCATCTGATCCCGTCGAGGCTCAAAAGGCAGAAGATGAGAAATTTTTGGTAGCCAGCACTAGAATGGGTGAAGAATTCTCCAGAGATTTGGACTACTATACAAAATCATGGTTACCAGCACGATCAATTGTCCAACAAGCATATGCCAAACGCCTACAATACGATTCGAAGGGAAGAATATTGGTATTTGATGGTCAATCTGTTCCATGGAAGGATCATCTCTACACACTCGAAGATCAAGAGAACAGCGAGAACAAAGTACTCTACGTTCTCTACCCTGAAAGCCCACGACCAGATGCGAAATGGAGAATCCAATGTGTACCAGTCACCAAAGACTCTTTCCAAAGCAGAAAGCCATTGCCTGAGGCATGGAGAGGATTCAGAGACGAGGAATTATCTCAAATTACTGGTATCCCAGGAGGAGTTTTCGTTCATGCAGCGGGATTCATTGGAGGAAACAAGACTTTCGATGGAGCAAGTAAGATGGCAGCAACAGCTGTTGATTTGTGATATTCACGAAAGTCATGAAAAACATTATTATGAGGCGTTGTTCGATATCAAAAGCCAAAAGGTTAGATAGGTTCAAAAAATATAGAACCCAGGCAATAAGTTCATGCACATCCGAATCTCAAAGAAAATGACTTCATGTATTGACAGCCTTTAAATCCATCGTTTCGTATTGGCATTTAGCTCGACTATCATACCTGGCATAAAAAAAACGAAAATGTACAGAGAATGCTCCATCCCCTTAAACCATCAAGATCATCATCATATCATTGAATAGCCCAAAACGCCGAAACCCGTGCGTACGCACACGTAGTAAATTCTCCCACAAAAATACCCTTAACCATTGATTGGAATACCTCCCTTGACAACTGGTGGACTGACACTGCCATCTCCTGCTTGCTGTGTGTTTGCATCATTCTTCTTATCTGCCTCATCAATGCTTGTCTCGCGATGTAAATAGCTGCTCTCTTTCACTGGACTTCCACTCTGCTGACCCAATCCCAATCCTGCAATGCTACCATGATGTGCAGAGCCAGGTCCTACATTTGTATTGCCAGAACCACCTTGTGCGGCATTGCCAACGCTGGGAGATGAGAGATGGGGGATGTTTTCTGGGAGAGGATGTTCCGATCCAACGCTACCCGTGTCGACGGAAGAGGCCTTGCCGGCTTTGGAGAGTGCATAGTCGCCAGAATCGAAGTATTTACGTTCCTTGAGTTGTTTGGCTAAATGATCGGCTTTGCTGGGGAGTTTGCCATAGAGGCGGAAGAGTCGTTGCTCATCCGGGGAGAGGGACTGCGGGGTCGGAGAGTCAATAAATTGAATGGCATGATAAATTCGAGCCGAGTGCAGAGGGAAATTGAATGGTTACTACTTACTGCAATATCGACCTTGTTCTTTTGCAAAGGGTTCATCTTGAAGATGAAATGAAATTCGGGAGAGTTTCTTTTGAATTTGGATTGGGAGAATATGGGTGGATTTAATGGATTTTCAAGAATTAGATCGTATGGATTTCTATTTCCGTATCCGAGGTCGAGATTATTTTGTGATCAAATGGTTGTTTACCTGTCTGTCTTTCTTCTTTGTCGCTCGAAAGATATACTACTTACTACGAACTACTGTACTCTTTAAATAACCACCAAAGGTACAACCGTAGTGCGAGCGATTGGGTGTAGATTTGCGGTCAATGAGTGGATTCAAGAGGGAGTGGTGAATCGAATGGAAAGAGAGACAGATTTGAAAGATTGTATTTCAAGGGATGTGAGTAACGATTTGGAGTGAGAAATATAAAGATCTTATGATTTTTGTTCGGGATTGAGTTGCACAAGAGAATATTCCTTGGAGGGGAAAAGGGTATTATGAACAGCTCAGAATGACCGATAGCGTTAATGGGTGTGTTAAAGGTATGGCTCGAGGTATGGGTATGGTGGGCGGAGGTGGGGTACACTTTTTCGCTCGCTTGGCTTGGCTCAATTGCAGAATTTCGAAATCCAGACCTTTTTGCGTGAGAGAGAGAAAAAATCTGATTGAACAGCTGAACAAGAACAAGATCAAGATCAAGAACAAGAGCCAAGATCAGAAAGAAGAAGAGGAACAAGTCGAAGAACAAGACGAAGAGGTCGAAGAAGTCGGAAAGTGAATTAGGCAAGACGCTATCGAGGGTATCAAGGTCTACTATTATATCTTTCTAATCAATGTACGTATAAATACATATATATATATATATGTACATATCTCTCTCTCCGTTGAGTGGTTGTCTTTCCGTCTCCCCCTTATCAAACTGGCACAGAACGACCAAGGGATATATATCTTTCTAACCTTGTATCCCTTCTTCCCTTTGCCCCTTGTAAGCCACGCATACATCCTCTTTCTACTGCCGTATATTTACGGAGTAGATGCGCAAAGATCAACCTGAGGACTCAAGGAACAGGTTAATTCGATTGGCTTTCAAAGTTCGCAACAGACAATCACGAGATCAATTTCATTCAGATCCCCGCACATCTTTGCATCTTTTATCTTTTTTCCAAAGTTTGAATTTGAAAAAAGGCTCCTCGCACAAGGGGTAGTCTCCTGTTACCACGAGTCAGAGTCCAATAACCACATACGATCATCGATCATTTAGCCATCCCTTGGGACTCTCTACCCCGCAACAAACCAGAACTTATTTCACCTGAGCCACCATCGACTGGGGATTATTTCCGATTCATTGCTCTGCTTTTAACCCTTGCACTATTTCCTATTGGTCTCTCCTGTTAATCAAGCTTGAAATCTACATCAGTATCCAGCTAAGATATCTATCTAAAGATGACCCAAAAAACCTACATCGTCGAGCACCTCGATGACGAACTTGGACCGTGGTCTGAGCTGGAATATATCACCATAGCCAAAGAGTCCAATCAGGCGGGTGCAAAATTTTGCCTGTCGTCAATTCCTCCCACCTTGAACATACCCGAGGTCTTAAAGGCCGTGCCGGGTTTCACTGCAGACGGCCGGAGTGTCGAAACTTTATATGTCGAAAACAAGTCTCGTGTGTGTTTGCTTGATCCAGCAGCCACTAAGGAATTGAGTCCAGAAGATGGCGATCTGTTTGACGTTTTCCTTTTTGGCGGAATCTTAGGTTGGTACACCGCAGTTGCCTTATCTACATAAAGTAGTTGCTAATATGTTGTGCTCTAGGAGATGATCCACCCAGAGATCGAACTTCTGAACTGCGAAAGAAAGGCTTCGAAGGCCGTCGGCTTGGCCCCATCCAATTGACAACTGATACTGCAGTTCGTTGTACAAGAATGGTTACTCAAGATAAAAGTCAGTCAGCTGATTCGGCCTGCCTCTCATCACTCAGAAGCTATATGCTGACTCTTTTGTAGTTCCGTTGGACAAGATTCCTTACGTTGACTACCCAGAACTTCGGGTCAACAAGAATGAAAGTACAGAAATGCCTTTTCGTTACGTGAAGGACGCCGAGGGAAAACCCATCATGCCAGAGGTAAGCTCACAATTCCTGACATCGCTTACCTACGTGTCGATTTAATCAAGTACATAGGGAATGGTTGAACTTATTAAGAAAGACACGGAAAAGGGATTTGGTGACATGTTTTAGGAGATTGTATAATGGAAATTCCGTGAGATATCTAGGTATGAATAACATTGGCACAGGGTAGCAAAGTGTTATGATATGCCACCGCGTTATTTTCATAGCTCCAAGTGAACATCAGAAGTCCAAAGGCCAATATGAGACCACACCCATCAAATATTGTTCTGCAGTTCTAGAACGTAGCTCACTTGAACTTTGGAAACATTGAGCAGGCGAACATGTTTCGCCAAGAGACTGAACATAGGGGCGTAAATAATCATAAGAAATGATAGAAATACAGGCATTGGCATCTTTGAACCACGATTAGCAATTAAGTTTTCCCCTCTACCAAAGTATAGAGAATGTTGGGCTTCAGAGGGTTCTTCTAGACCAAAATTAGCTTCTTATGCCTACAATTTTTTGGCTTCTGAAGGTCCAGGTCATATCGCAGCAGTCTAAGACCATAGTACATCAATATGCGAAACACTCTTATTCACAGGTGGATCTTTTCGAAGACAATGAATTCGAGCAAGGGGAGTCCGAGAACGGGTCACAATAAGTGAATAGTTAAAGGATTTTCTTTGTAAAGTCGGCGACGACCGAAAACTTTCGGAAAAATTATACTGCATCATGGTAAGTAGATTGCTTCACAATAGCTGTACCTTGAGCTCTTGAATGTGATAAATGCAATTTCAGATTTCCTCAAGATACGCATAGATTTCGTAATCATCTCCACTCACAATCTATTCTTGAGCATTCCGAACCTGTCACAGTGTTTCACGTCGCTAGGGTCCAATAGCGGGTAAAGGAATCTAGCGATATAGAGTGTCCCTAACAATCATTCCTGTATCAGTATTAAGAAACAACAAAGCCGCGAATCCCCCAAAAGCAGGTCAATATCAACTGTGTCCACATTCTGACACACTTCAAAAATTTATCTTTCTCATCTCAATACCATCGGCGGATGATAGGATATTGGTAATTCGCGACTACGCGACTCCTATAAACACCGTTTTGAGATACCCTTTTCTGGGCTGTCTGTTGCGAATTGGAACAAACACCAAGGGCTGAATATTGACAATGCGGTCTCTCACTTCCAGGACTAGTTCGGCCTTACTGACAGTATGGGGACTATTATCCATATCGTTGATGCCCTCGCTGGGTCAAGCAGATAAAACTGCTGGGGATTATTTTGTCCATTCGCTGCCGGGCGCTCCGCCTGGACCCTTACTCAAGATGCATGCTGGGTAAGTTACATTCTCCATCTCAGAGATAAAGCTAACACGAGGCTTGCAGACACATCGAAGTCACCCCTGACCATCACGGAAACATATTCTTTTGGCATTTCCAGAATAGACACATTGCGAATAAACAGCGCACCGTGATTTGGCTGAATGGGGGTCCAGGTTGCAGTTCTGAAGATGGAGCTTTGATGGAAATTGGTCCCTACAGAGTAAAAGATGGATCCAATGGACCAAAACTCGAATACAATCCAGGTTCTTGGGATGAATTTGCGAATGTTATGTTCGTAGATAATCCGGTAGGAACAGGATTCAGTTTCGTGGACTCGGACAGCTACGTTCATGATTTGCCCGAGATGGCAGATCAATTCGTCCAATTCTTGGAGAAATGGTTTGCGCTATTCCCAGAGTATGAGCATGATGATGTGAGTATAATACTGTTCAATTGTTACTATACAGATCACTAACTACTTCAAAGTTATACATTGCGGGTGAATCTTATGCAGGACAACACATTCCCTACATTACTAAAGCTATCCTGGAACGAAACAAGAAACCTGACACAAAACATCCGTGGCCAATGAAAGGAATGCTAATTGGAAATGGATGGATTTCGCCGGCTGAACAATACATGGCCTATCTTCCATTCGCATATGAGAAGGGGCTAGTCAAGAAGGACAGTGAAAAGGCAAAGAAATTAGAGTCCCAACAAGCCATTTGCACCAAGCTATTGAACGAGAACGGCGGAAGAGACAGGGTCGACAATGGTCAGTGCGAACAGATTTTACAAGAGATTCTGTCGACCACTCAAACCAAGGGCTCAGATGGCAATATGCAATGCTATAACATGTATGATGTGAGGTTGAAGGACTCCTACCCAAGTTGTGGTATGAACTGGCCTCCCGATTTGGTCAATGTTACACCTTACCTTCGCCGAACGGACGTGGTTGCAGCTCTCCATATTTCACCTGAAAAAAGGACTGGATGGACTGAGTGTAACGGTGCTGTTGGCAGCGCTTTCAGAGCAACACACTCAAAACCTTCCATTCAGATTTTACCAGACCTTCTCAAAGAAGTCCCTACCATACTATTTTCCGGTGCTGAGGATTTGATTTGCAACCACATAGGCACTGAAGAAATGATCAGCAATATGGAGTGGAACGGTGGCAAAGGATTTGAACTTGGATCCGGAACATGGGCGCCACGCCGGGATTGGGAATTCGAGGGCGAGGCAGCGGGTTTCTGGCAAGAGGCACGCAATTTGACTTACGTCCTCTTCTACAATTCGTCTCACATGGTACCCTTCGATTATGCACGACGTACCCGAGATATGCTTGACAGATTTATGCAAGTAGATATTGCTAGCATTGGTGGTGCTCCAACCGATAGTCGTATCGACGGCGAGAAGGGTCTGGAGACATCTGTTGGCGGTCATCCTAATAGTACTGCTGCTACCCAAGCCGAAGAAGAACGTTTGGAAGCCGCGAAATGGAACGCCTACTACAAATCTGGTGAGATTGTCCTAGTGATCGTCATTATCGCAGCTTCGGCATGGGGCTATTACATCTGGCGTGAACGACGCCAACGCGCTGGTTACGCTGGAATTTTCGGAGGTGACACTCCTATGGCTTTGGCGGGCGCGAGAAGTGGCCCTAGAGGCGCAGCAGGTCTTGAGAATTTCCGCAACAAACGAACGGCGAGGGACGTGGAGGCAGCAGACTTTGATGAAAGTGAATTGGATGAACTACACGTGAAGTCACCTACAGACGACATGGATAGAGATAGATACAGCGTTGGAAGTGCAAGTGATGATGAAGGCACCACAAGGAGGAACGGAAATGGCAAGGGCAAAGAAAAGAGTTACTCATAGTCTAATGCACTGCACGCATGACGAGTTGGAGGATTGGCAAGTCAGAATTTTCTTTTTATTCGTATGAGCATTAGTATGGGCGCCTTTTGGGATTCGGGCAATCGACGCGATGGGTATGTTACTATCACTATTCTAGACTTGGTTCGATTGGACTGCATTGTGGGAACTGCGGGAGTTCAAATGGAAATGGAAGTGAATGCATTGATGCATTAATGCATTGTAAGACATTTGGTTCTATCGCACTCGTGTGTCGTATCACTGAATTTTAAGGAGTGCGTAAATGTGAGATAGGTTGTATGGTTGACTTTGAACACGCTTCATATCATTACTACCCATATGACCTAATTTTGGAATCCTATTGATCGCCCTGTGACCGCCTTAAACTCCTCTGTAATAACTTCATCTTCTTGTATAACTGTGGCATCCAGCTCTCCCATCCCTTGCTCGATTAGGTCCTGGTTTTGAAACGCTCGGTCTAGGACTACATCTATGCCTCCTTCCACTCAATTCGATTCATATGCCATCTTATAGGATCAAAGATGCCTTCAGGCCTTGGAATTCTCGCCCATATATCTTTATTTATCATTCGCCAATTTTCCGTCTCGAAATTCTCATAGTGTAATCGAATCTCATCTCCATCTACCTCTTCTTGACACTTGGTCTAGGCTTGCACTCATCTGCGTTTACTGGATGTAACATAATCTTATTTGGGTATTGTGGTGTGTTGCTTGCATAACCCTTACTCCAATCGTAGCTAACGGCGTAGGCAAAAATGTTTCCGGTGTGGTTGAAGGCTGTAGCTGAGATGGTTCCCCCAACGGTTGGGTATCCCTTCAATCTATGCTTGGCAATTCCGTCCCAGAAATGGAACGTGCCGTCGGACCCAGCAGTGCTGAAAGTACCATGGATAGGGTGGAAGGATATTGCGTTTACGGAGTAGACGTTGGTCATGTTGTTTGAGGGTGGGTCGCGGTGACATTTGAAAGAGAAGTTCATGCTTTGATAGATTAGTGAGGGGTCTTGAGAAATGCGTTTTGGGGAAAGATTCCATACCTGGCGTCCTTGTCTTCAACATATTGAATGGCACATCTTCCTTCAATACTACCAACGGCGAAGCCAGAAGCGTCGGGAAATAGGCTAATGACTCTAGTTTGCCATTTCAACGGACTTTGAATGGTCTTCTTAATCTTATCTGGCATGTTCAAATCGATAATATTGATAAATCGGTCTGCGGTTCCAACAACCAAAACATTCTTTTGCACATCTAAGGTATAGACTTTATGGTTCATGTTCACCGAAATGACCGGATTAGGAGTTCTCAAATCCCAATACTTAATGGTATTATCCCAAGATCCGGTCACGAGCATCTCGCCGTTTGTTTGAGGGGCAGTGAAGAATCTCGCGGATTTTATCGGTTGATCATGCGCGGCGACTTGCGATACCGTTTGATTGCTTTCAAGATCCATAACACGCGCAGTTTTGTCGGCTCCAGCTCCAACGACTTTCTTTCCATCCTATTCGGCTTTATCAGTATACTCTCTTATAAGCTCAGCTAAAACGTATACATACCTTTGACCAGTGACAGCTAAAGACCGGCCCTTCGAAATCAAATAATGCCCTGCCTTCACTCTGTCCGCTCGACAAGATCTCATATATCCTCACTTTCTTATCCCATGATGCGACCGCTAAATGTTCGGAAACCGGCGAAAAGGCAAGATCGGAAATACTATCCTCGGGAGGATTATTGAGAGGGATATCTTTCGAAAGATCACCGAGAGTATTGGCCGCGCTCGTCGAGGTTGTGGTAGCCGCAGAACCAAATAATCCGGCCATATTTGCTTATAAATATCTGCAAAATCGTCTCAGTAGTATGCGCCGTCTCGAGCAAGAAAGCTTTTTCGCGTCGGTTCGCGTTCGTTGGCGTTGGTCGTCGAGCAATTTCAATTTCACCTGTTTTGCGTGCACGTAATTAAAAAAGACGGCTTCTCCAGGCATCGAAAGCTCATGCTGAAAATCCGCGCTAATGATGTTAGCTAGCTGCACACTAGCGGCCGCACAAAACTTCCCATCCACTACAAATTTTCAATTTTCCATTGGGAATTCTCTGCTTCCTTTTCTTCTACAACTTCTCGCTCAAAGAATCGCATTCGAAGCACACAAACAGAAATATCTTCATCGATGTTTCAATTTACTCTTATGCTTTGGGAGAAAGTCCCCGGACACCCTTCTTTCTAAAAGTTAGGATTGCGGAAACGCGCCGCCATAGAAGCACTTGCGGCTTCTCTTCTACCAATTCTTTACCTTTAATTTCATCCATCCTTTTGCCGTTATTACCATTGCCACGAGGCTTCTTGAAAATTGGATTCAGAGCATGGGAGACCACATGGATGAAGATATGAGTCCGAGCTCTTGTGTAATGTTTCCAACTGACTTGAAGAAGAGTGGTGATGGGAGGTAGAAGACATGTTCCTGATTGGGGTGGGAGTGTTAATGGTAGTCGAGGCTTTTTCGTCGAGATCGATAGTTATGCGATTGCTTTCCTTTGCTGCAAAGCTGGGAAAGTAACTCGATGGGGCTTATTCTTGATGCGAGAAGTTCAATTACATTTTTTGAGTCTATAGCTTATAGGAAAGCAAAGATGTTTTTGACTGAAGGTTGGGACACCAAACTCTAACCCTTTCTTTACCGAAAGGGTCGTCCTTGATTGGAAGTCATTCATCTTAGAAGCTCTGTCGAAGGAGCTGGACTTTGTTGCGATCATAAAAGCAGTTCAGGTGATGATTACCAAATAGAGTCAAGCACTGAATTGGGCCGTGTAAAAAGCGGCTCATAATTTGATGACCACAATTGCGTTATGGTGTCTGATGAACTTTACAAAGCTTTTTTTCTTTTTGTCAAACTTATTCAATGATAATATTATATTAATTTCCATCTACCTGATGTGCAACTCATACTCCCAAAATCCAAAGATGTAGATAGTGATGCAGATGTATGCAAATGACGCCGTTGTCCTTTAAATTTCCCAACCCGTCATAATCCTCATATGGTATCAAGCCGTTAATCCACCCATAAAATGCCCTAGTAAACAATATCCTTCACATAAGCCCACCCAGAACCACTCTCCCAACGCCCGCAACCTCACTCTTTACTCCACCTCTGCTGCTATCCTCAAACTCCTTTACTACTCCCTGCACAATAATCTTCCTTACTCTAGCATCTGCTTTGGTAAACATTTCCGCAATCTGTGGACTGCACTCTTTAGGTGACGATACCAGGCTCATCAACCTTGTATAACAATCAATCAACACATCGCATAGTGTCGCAAATGTCTCGTAGAAATCGGGATCGAATGGTAAAGATGGTGTCAAGAGATGTGTATATTCCTCCCCTGGTAATAAATCGTTCTCACTTGCTGGGAATGATGTTGCGCCATTGCCGCCTCCACTCGATGTACTGCCATTGATAGATTTCGTATCCGAGACATCGTTGCCCATCGGTAATCCTATTTCGGTTGCAGAACTTGTGCGTCGTCCTTTACTTGGAATCATAGTTGAGCGCTTGAACATTTGTGGAAATCTTCCGCGTGATAATGAAGAAGATGTCGATCCATCTGGTGGATGCGCTTGTTGGAAAGATTCGAATTCGCCGAGAAGCGCGTTGAGGGTGCGCAAAAATTCGGAAGGACTTGAAGAATTGAGGTCGAGGATTGCAGGGAGTGAAAGACCGAGAAGAAGATAATTTGTCGCGCGGCGGGCCAGTTTGCGCGCATCGAAGTAGGGCATTCGTTGTAAATCCGGTTTGTTGAATAATAATGTATTGAACCAGTAGACTCTTCCTTCATGACTATTCGAGGTAGCTTGTCAGTATAATCTTTCTGGGGTAAGTTGCAATGAAAGGATGGCGAAGACATACGCCTTTCGTAAATAATCCAGAGTAGATATTCTCTTCGACGCCATCTCTTGTATGTGCTGGTAAGTTATGGTCTCAAGCGTAGGACTACCAGGTTGCATTGGGGCCATTACACCTGGTCCCGCAGGTCCTCCCCCTGAGGATTGATAACCCGTTCCTGGTCTAGCAAGCATCTTCGAATATGGCGTCGTCGAGGTGAAGGATTGAGCATCTATCGATTGACGCGGTAATGTTTCTCCAAACGAATTGGTTCCTGCGGTTTCTGCTAAGACAACGCGATCGTAACTATCTATGCTTTGCCGGGGATCCGAGGGTGGTAATGGAAGGTTTACTGGTACGACATAGGGATTGTTCGCAGCAGAATGCTTTTCGGATGAGTTGGAAGTGGGAAATAATGGAAGATTGGGTAGGAGTGTTGAGTGTAAATGCGCCGTGGAATTATTACGTCGATTATGGCGAGAGGATGCAGAAAAGGAGGGTTTGCGACTGAAGCCCGTTACCGATGGTCTCGGTTGGTGAGTCGGTTGATGTGTTGGACTGTATTTGGACTCGCTTTTAGGGGAACCTCCGCTAGTACTTGGACGATTTGAAGTTGGAGTCTTACTGCCCCCAAATATATTACCACCTTTGAAGAGTCCACCATTGGTATTTGAGGAGGGTGTAGGTCGATGCATCTTTCCGCAATCGTACGCCACAACATCGGCTAATTAGATGTTGGATTTTCCGATGATAGCTGGAGCCCCCACCTTCTCTCGTCTCTCGAGCTTCTCTTCAGTAGAATCAATGTTCACACTCGATGTCTTCTTCGACTGTCGTCTCTTGCACTCTTTCGTTGTCGTTGTCGTCGGTATGCTTGTCTGCTTGTCTGCTTGCCTGCTTTTAAACAACACTTCAAAAGTAAAGAGAGAGAGAGACAAAAAAAGGAATCAAAAGGGATATATATTATCAAATCCTGTTGGGAAATGTGCTAATATTATTTATTTATTCGAGTGGATCAGAAAGGAAATACCGAAGTCTCATCCCCAGACTTCAACCGTAAAAAGCAAATCTGCAGGATGAGGAAAAAGCAACAGATGAAATTGGAAAAAAAAAGGAAGGATTGACTGAAGAAGCAAAAAAAGACTAAACACAACAAAGTACGAGATGATAGATCGAATGCAAAGAGAAGGAAGGAATCGGAGTCCATATCCATATCTACCTATCCTCTTCTTGTCTTATCCTTCATGTCCCATAAGTAAGATGATCTGGGTATCTTGTAACCCAATAGTTTGATTGTTCAGAACCACATAGGTGGTGGTGTATCGCTGCCCATCCTACTTTATCGGTCTATTGACCCCAACGTTCAGGGGGGTGTAAGACGGTAAGGTTGCTTGAATAGGGTTAACCTTACATCTCACATCCTATGGACCTATTCTGTACAGCTGAGCTGTATGGAATAATCATGGCTGCTTCCTGACTGGTTCTTCGTGAAGTCCATCTCCATCCATCTGGAGCGGTTGAAGCGTTGAAGAAATGGCACGCATGATATACTCGAGTACCCAGATACCTAGTAGGTAGATAGATTTGACGAATGAAGCATCGAATATCTACATCATACCTACATAGCACAAACTTTGGCTATGGAGAATTCTTTTTCGTCACCTTCTTTCTTGGAATCTCCGAGGTTGCATATTGTCTAGAATATAGCCTCATGTTCTAATTTTCCAGTTTTTCCAGTTACATGGTACTGTGTAGAACTTGGACAGTGTGATCCATGAATAAGATTGACGAGATTGATTAATTGATTGATTGATTGATTTGATCTGCTGGTAAGCGGTAAAGGGAGGAGATGCCCCGCAACCCCTTCTTTTATTATGAACCTTACCTCGAGCTTACCTAGCCATTTGAAGAAACACCTTTTGGGAAATATATCAATCTTCAAAACCAAAGAATATTCATACTTTCAATTAATTCAGAATTATGGCCAATAATTTCGAGGAAGAAGGTCCATTTGGCGATCCAGCGCCTGAGATATTAGAGGATAGAATATGGGTAGATGGATGTTGGGACTTCTTTCATCATGGTATGTTTGTTTATATCGAGTTCCAGGAAACTATGTTGAACGCTTACCCCTGACTTCATATGCTAACATGTTGACTCTTCTACAGGACATGCTGGCGCCATGCTTCAAGCACGACAATTGGGGAATGAGTTGGTTGTAGGAATTCATTCAGATGAATCAATTCTCGAGAACAAAGGACCTACGGTCATGACGCTACAAGAACGGTAATTCAGGACGACCATTGGACGAGGACTGATTTACTGATACCATATCCTCAAGAATCGCGGCAGTAGATGCCTGCAGATGGGTTACACAATCGGTATCATATGCGCCATATGTTACTTCTTTGCCATGGATTTCTCATTATGGTTGCAAATATGTAGTTCATGGCGATGATATTACATCGGACAGCAGTGGGGAAGATTGTTATCGATTTGTCAAGGCCGCAGGTAGATTCAAGGTCGTGAAGCGAACGCCAAGCATCTCGACGACAGATCTTGTAGGACGAATGTTACTCTGCACACGAACGCACTTTATCAAATCACTTCCCAAGCTCTTGGCTGGGGAAGATGGCTCTGGAACTCCGGAGGAGAGACACACTGAAGGCAAAGCTATGACTGAAAGGATGCGAATGTATGCTACCGATGAAACTGGACTTAAGCCAGGCTCAAGTGTTTGGTTTTGGAAAGCTTCGATTGCGGCTAGGGAGGACGAGACCGAGAACGAGAAGGGAGTCTTCAGTTCATTGATGCAAGGATCTACCCCAAAACCTGGTCAGCGAGTCGTATATGTTGATGGTGGCTTCGATCTCTTTTCTTCGGGTCATATTGAATTCCTTCGACAAGTTATAAAGGCGGAAGAGAAGCTCGCTGAGGCAGAAGGCTGGTACAACAAAGAGGCTGTAGAAGAACGTCTTGGTAAAGGGGCAGACTATGCCCCATGTTTCGTGGTGGCTGGTGTTCACGATGATGAAGTTATCAATCATTGGAAAGGAGTCAATTATCCAATCATGAATATCTACGAACGAGGTCTTTGCGTATTGCAATGCAAGGTATTAAGCGTCCCAAAATATCTCTCCCAGGTTGCAATTCTAACTTCATACAGTATGTCAACGCCGTCATCTTTGGTGCGCCTTTTACTCCCTCCAAGGCATATCTTACAACAACTCCATGGGGAGTACCTGATGCCGTCTATCACGGACCAACAAGTTTCATGCCATTGACTTATGATCCATACATCGCTGCAAAGGAAATGGGAATCTATCGTGAAATTGGAAACCATGAATTTGCATTTGTCAATGCTGGTCAAATCGTCCAAAGAATTTTGAAAAGTCGAGACATGTATGAAGAAAGACAACGCGTAAAGGGAGTAAAAGGTATTGGCGAGGAGGCTCAGAGGACTCGCGAACGATTGGAAGAAGAGCAGCGATTAAAGGAAAACATTGCATAAATGGGTCAAAACCTGAAGGAAAAGTTCAAGGGTAGAGAGGCAGCCATAAAAAAAGTTCATAGATAGAGATACCACCTAATTTTACATAAGATAGAGATAAATATCAGATTAATTGACCAAAGAACATGCCATGGCTTGGTATCCACCGTCAAGATAAAACATTACAGCCAATTGACAATGTTAAATGTTTACAAACAGCGATCTATCAGGTTATGAATGTGCTTGTGACTTCTGATGATACGAATCTTTCTTGCAGTTCCGCATATCTTGAAGTCTCGGTATCCGAGTGTAACCGTTAACCGGCAATAAGCGATTCATATCAAACTCCATTCTTTTCATCCATTTTCATTGGAAAGAGTGAAAATGAAAATGTTCATAATTGACGACATCATATCTGATATGTCCCACAATGCACACACATCCACATCCACATCCAAGTCTTTCAACGCCTTCTTCCTATCATCAACGTCTCCAGTCCCGGGTCCGGCTCCGTTCCGGACAATGAACCGCAGCAAGAATCCAATAAGCCGTGTGTTACATACAATCCATCATTCCTCGCCAAGATATGCTTTCTTATGCTTAGAAGTCAAAACTCGGGGGGTCAGTCTTCTGACAGCAGTCCCTTCTACATGGATCTACTCGTATCTCCCTTTTGAATTCTCAATGATCGGACTCATTGGAGTAGATCTTCACTGCTTGACTATTCCCCTGATATAACACGCCCTTCCCGACTGACTACGATGTACTCCGTGCCGTTGCTTCCATAGTAGTTGATTTTCCATGCATTGCAGTGACCCACCAGCAAAATTCATGACAACTTTCTCGACACGAAATCTTGTACGCACATAATATCTACGAAGTACATGCTAAACCGTCAAGTATTTTTACACTCCAAAGCCATGATTCGATGGAGGACCTGCCAAGTAGACCCCAAATGGGCGGTGGGCGGCGTATTAGAATATAATTGATTGGCTTCTTTTTTGATACATCGCCTCGATTACTCGATGACCCAGGTAGGATTCCCACAGAGATTGGCTGGCTAGTGCCATAAGGTTGAGTTTGAGTTTTCTCTGTCAAATATATATTTTGGTATTTTTATACTTTTATAAATTTATGGGTTTATGGGGATGAGAATCTTATCTGTGCATGTCTGTAGATTCCACTCCCCTGGGTCCCTTCCCCTTCCACTTCCACTTCCTTCCCTCGAGTCCCTCCAGTAAAATTGTCTAAAATTGTTTGTTGGGGTGTGACTCAAAATTTCAAACGAAACTCCTTTTACTAATAAATTTATTAGTTCATTCTATATAAACTCTAGAAATCCTTTCTTTGTCCGCGAATTCCATTTCTCTTAATCACCTGCAACCTTTTTTTGACAGCAAGACTACTAGATTTTCTTAAGAAGTTTTCAATCAATACTTTCCCTTTCCCTTTCCTACACTCTTTTACTTTTTCTCTCAAGTATCAATTGGGGATCTGGTTACCATAAAATCACACATCATATTCACCATGGCTCCATCAGCAATCTCACAAACTCCTCCTAAAGATGTTCAACAATCCGATGAACTCTTGGCTGCCGCCGTCACCAAAAAGATTGCAACCACAGAATTTGGTACTCTTCCTCATCTAGATGCATCTTTACTCAAGGTCACTAAAACCACCACTCCTATGAATGTTCCTGCAGCAGGCGACCCAATCATCAATACTGCCTCTCAATGTACCGACCACATGGTCACAGCCGTTTGGAACAACATGACGGGATGGGGTGTACCAGAGTTGAAACCATATGGAAATCTTTCTTTGGCCCCCACGGCTTCTGTTTTACAGTAAGTTGTCTTCTGTTTTTCGTTGTTGTGTTTTGTTTGCTAGATGGGAGGCGCTTGAGCCATAGCCACCATTTTTCTCGTTTGAGGATGATGTGGGATGGGATAGGATCTCCCAACAGACGTCTCATATCACAACCCAAACAAGAATCCCACTGTGTTTTTGGACCAATTATGTATTCCGAATATAGATATTGACTCATTTTAGTTATGCAACTGAATGTTTCGAGGGCATGAAAATGTACCGTGGATTCGACGGAAAACTCAGATTGTTCAGACCGGATTGCAACTGTCAGCGAATGCTCACTTCCGCTACCCGTATTTCGCTGCCAGGATTCGATCCCAAGGAGTTGGAGAAACTCATTGTTGCTTTGGTTTCTGTAGACGGTCCTAAATGGCTCCCAGAACCTGGTACTTTCCTCTACTTGCGACCCACTATGATTGGTAGCGCTGGAGCACGTGAGTATACCCTTTGCTAGATTTTGACTTTGACGCCATGTCAAGTGTGAAGTATACTTTTTACTAGACAAATCACTAATACGAATGCGTAGTTGGTGTTGCTGCCCCTAAGGAATGCACAATGTTCATCATCTCCACCTTCATGCCTTCAATGGATTCGCCCAAGGGAATGAAGCTCCTTGCCAGTCAAGAAGGTGTTCGTGCCTGGCCTGGTGGATTCGGTTTCGCAAAGGTAGGAGCCAACTATGGACCTACTTTGATGGCGAACTCGGAAGCTCGTGCCCGTGGCTATGATCAAGTTTTGTGGTTGCTCGATGGAATGGTTACCGAGGCTGGAGCCAGCAACTTTATGGTTGTGTGGGAAACTAAGGAGGGTAAGAAGCAGTTGATCACTGCTCCTTTGAAGGACAAGATTATTTTGGATGGCGTTACCAGAAGAAGTGTTTTGCAGTAAGTATTCTCTTGACTCATTGCCTTTCAAATTGTTCTAACCTCGAAACTACAGACTCATCCGAGAGCGTATCCCCGAGCTTGAAATCGTGGAGCGCAACTTCACCATGGATGAGCTTGCCGAGACCGCCAAAGAAGGCCGTGTCATTGAGGCTTTCGCTTGTGGAACTGCATACTTCGTCGTTCCCGTTGCACAGATCAACTACAGAGAGAAGGATATCGATATCCCCATGATCAAGGGCAACAGCGGAGAATACGCTGCAAAGGTCAAGCAATGGTTGGTCGACATCATGTACGGAAACGTAGAGCACGAATGGGGTGTTGTCATTGATGAAGTTGGTGCATGAATCATCCCCATTCCATTGATTGGATTCGGGTAATTCGGTGCTCTGGATCGTTCTGGCTATGGGATTCGCTTGTACAGTGGAGATTTATTCTCCAATCAGCCAGATCGTCCTCTTTTCTTGTTTCGTCTCTCGCATTTGCACTTTTGGCCGGCGGGAGGAAAAAAAAATGATTGGCTATTTTATGGCGCGGCTTGGTTTGCTTTTGCTTTTCTTTGGGGCTTGGTTCAGCGACATAGAGATATCTGTTTGCATAGAGAGAGTCGCATCAGCGTTGATGACTGGCTTTTTATGTATTTTTTGATAGAATAGCGAATATCACAGCAATGATTTTGTGAAAGATAATGTTTGTGCTTGTCCCCATTTCGTCAGTCTGGTGTGGTGTGATGTGCTGCTTGGCTTTTGGAACATTGCTCTCAATGTCTTGAAGGAAGCGTACATTCATGACCAGCAATCTCAACATCGAGAATCGAGTCTTTGAAGTCTAGATAGATATCAGGGAATTTTGGTTTCTAGTGGAATGCCATAATGCTATAATGCATACGAGCTAGAGTTTGGTATATAGTATAGCCGAGATTCAACGATTTCAACACACGGCTGGGCCGGAAAGGGGGATCGGAATCATCGGAGAGGAAGTATGGAGAAGACTCGGCAAAATTCAAGCACAAGCAATCTTCGCTTTGCAGGATGTTAAAACTTGATTGAAAGATTCGATTGTTATGTGGATTTTGATGTACAGATAGATGTTTAGAGTGAGTGTATAATTAATATACTGACTGTATTGTATGTATATGTATATATGTATTAAACTTAATTAGCTCCTCCCAGCAAAATTACATAGCAATATCATTCATTGTCTAAGAGACATGAGTATGAGCAAATATGAAAATATGGCTAGTGTCTATTCGCATCGTGCATCCCATCCCAAATAACACAGCACGAGCAGCTCAATACCAGTGAGCAAATCAAGATGAATCCCCATTCACCACATCATTGCGCCTACGATTCTTTGTCGTACTTTGTCTGTTTTTACATCGATTTCCTGCACGGAATGTAGTTGTCAGTATAAATGTATGTATTAATATGTGTGTGCCTTCCTGCACAGTAAAAGCAAAGAGCATCATACCTTCTCCGAAGCCTTCATCTTCTTAACCACCTCATTTCCTACCTCATCCAATTCTTCCAACAAAACATTCATCTGAGCCGTGTATTCAGCACCCAACAACAGCATATCGACATGATATCCCTCATCCGCATCCTCCTCATTGAACCTCTCGCCCCCAAACACCCGCGTCGCAAATATCTTGAACTCAGACTGTACGCCCTCCCACTCTTGCCAATACCCCTCGAGCTTCTTTTCTTCCTTTTCAACCGTCTGTCGGAATTGCGCAACGCGCTGGCCAATCTCGACGATTTCGGAAACGCGCCGTCCTTTTTGCTGCACCGTCATTTGGATTTTCTGCGTGGCCAAGGGCGCGCTGAGCGCTTGGGCGTTGTGGGTGATGGTTTGGAGGAGGGCTTGATCGGTGGTTTGGGCCTTGGTGAGTTTTTGGAGAAGACCCGTGTGGGCTTCTTCGAACGCGGCTTTTCCAGCACGTAGAATGTGGGTTCGGGCTTCTTCGAGGGATTCTGGGGTTGAGTTAGATTCAAACTATCAAATAAGTATATTATAGTATATGGAAGTACAATACTCGCCTTCGAAAGCAGAAGAAAGGTCCTCGGGTTGAAGAGATGATTCAGCTCCATGAGCATGTTTGAGAAGCTGGGATGGACGCGTATCTTTACCGCTCTGTTGAAGTTTTCGAACCTCATTCTTGGGAATTGGGTTTACAACGATGGATTTCTTGGCTTGCTCTCGGGATTGTTTGGGTGTTGGTGCTGGCTTGGATACTTTGGATGTCTTGGGTTTTGATTTGGCGCCATGTGCTTTACTTCCATCGAGCGATTTGCGGTGGGTGGTTGGGAGATCTTTTGGATGGTTTGCTTGACGTGTCATTGTGACGTCTGAATATATTACTATGTATGTAGGGTAGGGATGAACTATACTGGGAGAGAAATATGAATTTCTTCGTGGATGAAGAAGTGATTTGGATGCTTTCAGAAATGTTGTGTTGGGGCTTTGAAAGTGAAAGTGAAAATGAAAGTTGCTTAAAACAATCCCGATTTCAAAGGAGGAAGGAACTGTCTGAACAACATGCGTATTCATCGTGTTCACAATGGAATTTCACCGCATGAAATACAATAATGAAATTCTTCTCCATAAATAGAAATAATTGACTCTTTAATTGTATAGTGAAGAATTTTATTGTGGTTTCGCATGTTCTATCTCGGGATTCTGCAGGTGAGCACCCATACTTCTGGTGATTCTAGCTGTGAGATTGATATTCGTAGGATACAGAATGCCTCAATATCAGATTCGATGATCGATTGTATGCGCTTTCAATGTGACCTTTTTAACTCCACCTACAACTGTATTTCTTGAGCAATCTGGCGTTTGTAATTGTTTTCGTTGTTTACAATGTCTGAACTTCAGGAAAGATCTTCCGTCACTCTTCTGGGCTAGCCAAGGTTTAGTCTCCATCCTCACTTGAATTTTCATCTTGATTTTGATTTTTCAATGTCTAACTTTCAGACATTTTAACAAGGGTAATAGGAAAATACGGATTACAAGCTGAACATACTAAGTCCAAGGTATCTGAGGTAACCTTTATAACAGATGCAATTCCATACTCCGAACGCCAACTTTACGCCGCAACCTGTTGAAAACAGCAAGACACTTTTCGACACCCACAACAGCTAGATATAATTGGCCCTCCATCCGTGGAGGTTACATTCCTTTGAAGAAAAGTTGCCAGCATATCACCTCCCAGTGCCAATTATGCTTCCAGCTTTAGCCTCTTTTCGATTACTGTCACAATCTCCTTCCAATCCTTCATGGCTCCATCCCCTACATCTCCACAAGCGAGCTCCTTTTCCTGAGGTCGCAAAACCTCGAACCATCCCTCGCCCTCATCCCCACCAGGACCAATACCCCATTCCTGCTCCAAGATCTTGATTTGACTCTTCGTTACTGGATGTCTCCACATGGCGGTATTCATCGCCGGAGCTACAACTATTCTTTTTTTGCCGCTGAAAACCATCTCCCCATTCGTATCCATACTATTCTGAGTAGAAGCTTCCACTTCTCCGGTAGTATCCCATGCCCTCACCACACTCGTAAGCAAATTATCGCTAAAACCACCCGTAATCTTAGCCATCGTATTGGCGCTCAATGGCGCAATGACAAGCATGTGTGCCCATCTTCTCAACTCTATGTGCAAAATACTCTGACCACGTTTCCATGGATGGATCCATTCTTCCTCGTCCAGGAACACACCTTGCACGTTGGCGTATCGGTGAAAAGTATCGATGTGTGGTTGTTCTATGCTTTGACCCTGAAGAAAATTGGTTGCAGATTTGGTCAGGATGACACAGATGGAGAGATTGGGATGATGTGATAGAGCAGATAGGATGTTGGGGATCTTAATGGTTGCGACGGATCCACTGGCTGCTAGGAGGAGGTGACGTTTACCATCGGAAGCATGATCCGCAGCCGTAAAAGGGTGAGATGTTCCAGACACTCGGGTTCGGTGCTCGTCACGCCCGGTATGGATCATTTGCAACATGGTGAATAAGATTTTGATGAGTTCGATAACTTGAATATTGGGAAGCAATTGGAAGATTGATTGTGTGTGAGAGAGAGTATGGGATTTGAGGATTTTTACATGCTACAGTACGAGTAACGGAAGAAGGGATTTGTAATAAAAAGAATGGGAATCTAGAATGATTCAATACTCTCTATTCACTCATCATTATTCATTGTTATTGCATGTTTTCTATCGAATGATTTGATTCATAAGGCTGAATGCAGTCATCGATAATATTACATACCACAGACATTGATTGGTTCGATAATGCTTAGCTCTTCCGAACCTCCATTCTCCGAAGCTCTTAAACATTGTCAATCAAGAGGCAAGGCCACCAAAAAAATACATCAAATTCCACAAATCTTGTACAGTATTAAGATATCATATTTCAATATGATTGCCAAACCAATGTTTTCATCGGTATGTCGAGCTTCTCTAAGTCATTGAGAACCCAAAAACATTACCTGGAATACTAATTAACATTAATCAGATGTTCCGACAGGCTGCTCGCCCCGCGGTATTTGCCTCCAAATTCTCGACCCCTCGATTCTCCCCCATCGCATCCAGATATCTTTCTACAGAAGTTCGCAAGCAGATTGATCAAGTTGTTGGTTCAAAGCCTGTTGTCCTTTTCATGAAAGGCACACCAGAAAACCCAATGTGTGGCTTCTCAAAGGCAACCATTCAGATCTTGAGCCTGCAAGGCTTGAACCCAGAGAAGTTTGCTGCTCTTAATGTACTTGAGGATGAAGGTTTAAGACAAGGTTTGTCTCCAGAAACACCAACCCTTGTTGTATGCTACATGGAATCTAACATGCATGTCAAACAGGAATCAAAGAATATTCCGAGTGGCCAACCATACCCCAACTTTATGTCAACAAGGAATTTATCGGTGGATGTGATATTTTGGTCGCAATGCACCAAAATGGAGAACTAGCAAAGGTTTTGGAAGAGAACAAGGTCTTGGTTGAGGAATCAACATAAAGACTTCCCGACCACCTCGAAGACTTTAATATGTACAACAATGGAGGGGAGAGGAGATTCGCTGCGCAATGCGCTTGATCTTTCTAAATATACCATGGCTCATGAAGAATGAGTAGAACCGTAAGGCAGATTCGGTACTATGATGATTTTCACGATATCTTAGGGAATATAATGGATAATAAATATGTGTACATCTTATGCAAGTATTGAAGTACCCGTGAGAAGTTTTCATGTGAATACCAGGTCAGCACTTGTGTGCCTTTTGATCAATCTCATGGATCAATTCTTAGGAGGGCTTTATATCTAGAATGAGAATTCTTCATTGATATGCGTAATTCGCCATCTACTCGAGTAATTCTTATTCTCACCAAAACATGCATTTTGTCTAATCCCCCACCACTGATGAATGATTCCGGCATCGATCGATCTTTCTCGGTTGTTACAATTAGCTCCAGCTTTGGCGGGAGCTACAAGCGACCAGTGGCGGCTACATATTGTATTCCTTCCCCCACGTCAAACGGCCCGCAAACCAAAGTGCAGTGACGTATGGAACTAACAAACATTCCATTGTAAGTATCAGATCAAGGAGCAAGTCCTCCGGTGCACAAGGTAGGAGGGTAGGTAGGAACAAAAGAATAGGTGATGGGTTTTTTCATCTTTTGTATATAATTCTTGCTACTCTCTTCTACTTGACTGCTACATCTCATAACATAAAGACAAACTGATATCTTCTCTCTCTCTACTTCAAACTTTAAAACTTCAAAATGGTTGGTACAAATGAACTTCGAGCTGAGAATCTCTTCTCTATGAAGAATGATGTTTGCGTCATCACAGGAGGCGGAACTGGTATTGGGTTAATGTATTTTCCCTCCCTCCCTCGCTCCATAACTGGAATATTTGTATTTGACTATTACTGATAATCAAATAGGGCAGCCCAAACATTAGCTGCAAATGGAGCAAAAGTATACATCACAGGTCGTCGAATGGAAGCTCTAGAAAATGCAGCCAAGCAACACTCTCCCACATCAGGAGGTTCTATTATCCCGTGAGTTTTGTACCTGGTTTCCTTCTCTATCATCTACCCATCAACAGGTACGATAGACACATTCGGTAGCGTATCTAACCTAATCCCCCACCTCCAGAATTGGTCCCTGTGACGTAACCAGCAAAACGGATCTCGAAAACCTCGTTTCCGAAATCAGCAAGAAGGAGAACTACATCAGTCTGCTCCTGGCGGGGGCGGGGATCTCCGGACCCAAAGCCGAGCCCAATTCCTCGGATGCCGTCGCGCTGAAAGATAAACTGTTCAATTCGGAAAGTTTCGAGGAATGGGGCACGACCTTTAACACGAACGTCTCGGCCGTCTATTTCACCACGGTCTGTTTTCTTCCGCTGCTACAGGCGGCTCAGAAGGCGCATGGACGCATGTCCAGCTCTGTTATTGTGATTAGTAGCATGAGTGGAATTATGCGACATGCGCAGGGACATTTCTCGTACAATGCGGCCAAGGGCGCGACGGTGCATTTGAGTAAGTTGATGAGTTATGAGTTTAAGGAGATTGGCGTGCGGGTGAATAGTATTGCGCCGGGATATTTCCCGAGCGAGATGACGACGGGGGAGAGTGATGAGACGCAGAAGAGTCATTTGGATGAGGAGAAGGTTCAGCAGAAGGGTCATGTGCCTATGCAGAGGGGTGGAAGGTATGTGTTTTGTCTCTCTCTCTCTCTCTTTGGGTTTGAGAATGCTGGAAAGCTAATGATGTGTATAGTGATGAGGAAATGGCAATGGCTGTGTTATTCTTATCGAAGAATAACTATGTTAATGGAGAGATTATTGCAGTGGACGGTGGTGTTCTTTTGGATGTTCCAGGAAGGTAATTGATGAGACGGGATGGGATGAGATGAGGTTGAGGAGATATTCACATTGTACCTAGATATCGATGAAACAGAAACAAATAAAAGTAATCAGGAAAATATAAATAGGCTTTTCACGCCATGTCAGAAGAGCAATAGATAATTGAAAGCAAGTGAACAAGTCCTGAGATCAAGACTTTCTTGGGGTTTAGATATTGAAATACATTCGTCCGAACTTATTGACGTAACCCTCAGAACGTTCAGCGCGGATTGAAGATCCGAACCCAATAACGCTAAGACGGGGTACAAAAGATACCCCATTATCAATCAACCAATACACGCAATCATACCCGCCTCCCAAAAATCCCAATACTCTGACCCCTATTACTTCCAAGCCACTCTGCCCACGTCTCCCCATCTCCCTCGCGTTCCCGCTCCTGAATCTCCCTCGCAAACTCCCCATCCATCTGCGT